GGTTTGGTTTTTTTAAACCCTCTGGCAACGACTAGGTGCAAAACACATTTTCTCTTCTAGAGGCAGAAGAGATGGTGGGAGCAGTTAAGTTGCACTGCCAACAGTGTCTATCACCCTATTAAAAGTGAAGTATTTGCCCATTAAAAATTAAATTAATGAGACAGGAATTCAGTCATTCTGAAAATATTAATATTTCGCAACATCTGATCAGTGTAATTCTGATAAAACAGAAATAAATTCTTATCATGGACTAAGCTACCTGTGAAATTCTGAAATCAAGCTCTTCTGATGCCTAAGATTGTCAATCTTGTATATTTCCTTCAGAATAAAACAGAACATTTGCAGTTATTAAAACACAAGCAGGACCTTGATTGAATTAGAAGTGTTTGAAAGCTGAACTGTTAATGCAAGCAGTTAGAAAAGAATTTCAGTGTTAGTTCTTAGCCACAGTGGAATTAAATAGCAAAGTGGATCAATTTTATGATATCACCATTGATTTTTATCACTGCCTCTGGATATGTTTTTATTGTATTGTTTTCCCTGACTAGCACGTAGCTGCTGAAGTGCAGGCTGCTCAGGACAGCCTAAAGAAATAGTATTCATAGGAGAGTTTTACTCGTGGTTGGGTTTGGGGTTTTTTGTTTTGGTTTGGTTTTTTTTTTTTTTTTTTTTTTGTTAGGCATTTTGATGAGGCTCTCCTGTGTTTCTTAAAGGTTCTTTCAAATTCAGTGAATTCATTTGGAAAGTTGTCTTGCCAAAATGCCTGTGGTAGTGACAGGCTATGGTACTCTGATAAACAATATCATGTGTAAGTAACTTCCAAACGTTTTGCAGTGGAGTTACTCATCGTTTGTTTTGCATTCAGAAGTGTGCTAACAGGGTTTGGGCATCAAGAATGCCATTAATAAAAACTTCATTGAAGAATCTGACTACTAAATGTAAAATACAGCATGTACAGTTGAATTCCTGGGTCTTCTGCTTCTTTTGTGCCCCACTGGATATAAAAAAGCTCTTCAGGGTATATCTCGTTAAACCTTGGTATATTTTGCACTGCAGGCTGGTCACACAACAGTGGCAGCCTCCTGGCAGTATGTGCTCAGACTTCCTGAGGTGGCATCTCTCTCCTCATATGCTGAGGAAGGGCATCAGAAATTCAGTTAAAAAACCTCTTCCAGGGATTTAAGTGAAAAAGAAATAGATAAAGTGGAGACTGGGAGCAACAGCAGCAGGTCACTTATACCTTCTGGACTGATTAAATGCTTTGTTTTGTGGACTTGAGGGGGTGCTTCTTGGACTAAGTCCACAAGGATACCCACCACGCACTATGAGGGAGTGATGGAAGCGTGACATGTGTAGCATAGTTAAAGCTTTTCAGATGGGTATGAACAGTACGTGTTTGGTCAGTTAATACTTGTTAGTTCTTCCTTTTGGAATTTATTCAATGAAGTATTGCAAGGTAGCATGTTTGCTGGACTCACAAGGAGGGCCTAATGACAGTCAGCCTGATTTAAGTTTCAGAAGTTGATCGCTGTGCCTCTAAAAAGTGTTCTCTATTTTCATGATTTCATGATACATACCCATAGCTGCAGATGATGTAATTGTTGCTCAGCTCTTTTCACCTGCAAAGGATCTTACAGACATAGTCTTTATATTCGGGTGCTTCAAACACCATTTTATAAATAGAATAAGCAAAAATCCTTTGAATGCTTACCATGACTATGAAGAGATGCCTTTATACACTAGTCTTACAACTTATCTCTCACTTTGGAAATGGAAGCCCTCATTCATTCATATTTTGTGTCAGTCCCCTCTTACAGTAATCCTGTTCACCTGTAAAACCTTGAAACTCCTCTTAAATACGATCTTTGTGTTCTAGGAATAAAAAGATGCAGCCTCAACTACAACTACAAACTTGGTTTGTTCTTTTCTTTTTGAAACCTCAGGGTTCTCAAAATGGTAGGCGTGCACTCCCAGGGAAGTCTTTGTAAGAGAAAAGGGGAAGTCTTAGAAAGCTGTGTCTAACTGCCCGTCAGTTGCCTGCAAGGAGTCACGAGTGCCTTTTGACCTCTTCTGCTGCCTTTCTACACCTGGTCCTCCCCACTTAGACCCAGTATTCCCCACTGCTGCTCACCTCCATTTTTTCGTTCTGTTTTTGTTTTGTCATGTCAGATGGAGATAGGCATTTCCACAGCTCTGCAGGCGAGCGCGTTAGTATGAATGTAGGACTGACAAAGAACAGAAGGGAGACTCTACAGACTTTATTTTCACCACAGATGTTCAAGGGGCTTAGCTCATGAACAAATTTTTATTTCACATTGTCAGTGTTTTAATTTCATAGCTGGTTCAGACAGGAAAAATAGTTTTACTGTAGACAAATGGAAGAAGATATTAAAGTACTTGGTTACTAAATAATTATAAAATATGTGATTTGTACCCTGGTGTTGGAAGAAGTGCCTCTAACTTTGTGAATTCCCATTAAGCCTTGATAAGCTTTCAGTTAAATGACATAGTTTGATGGAAAGTACAAGGGATTTATTTCTGGACTGAAGAATAAATGAACACAAATACAAAAAGGCTTCCTTGGCTTTATTCTCGTGTAGTCTCGGTGTAAAACTACATAATGTTTGATTTGCAAGAGTCCAAAAATATTATTAAAATAGGGACATCACTTTTTCATTGGTAAAATCTTACAATGAAAAGTGAGTTCCAATGTGTTATTGCTTCTTCTAGCTGCGCTGACAAACTTATTTCCTTTCCCCACCCTGCCTCGGCCTGAAGTGTTCTCGCAGTGAGTTATTTTTGCTCATGGGATATTCTGGTGTTTGCAGGAGGTATATGACCAACGGAGTAATAATCCTGGCTTCTTCAGAAAAATGCCCATTTCTTCTTACACTGCTCCCTCACTAATTACTCAGTTTGAAAATCTCTGTTTTAAAATATTCAGGGCATGGGGGTGTTATCAGAGGTCAGACCTGGGAGCTAAGAATTAACAAATAATTTTAAACTTAGATAAAGGGAAAACCAAAACCAGCTTGTGTCTGCTGAGAAAAAACAGTCAGCTGCTGATAGTCGTTATAGAGATAATTTTCCCTCTGCATAGCTATTAGAAGACAGTATACTTGTAGGTTTAGTTCCGTTTCCCTTACCTGGGCTTCATTGTCTGTGCAGATAGGAAGATGCAGTTCTTCCCAAAGGGGACATGGACAAGCAGAATCGAGTAAGCATCTAGGCTGGATGGGACTTCTGGAGATCAGATGGTCCAGCCTCTACACAACGTAGGGCAAACTGCAGAGTTAGATCCAACTTAAGGATGGATCAAATAAAAAGTAAATCACTTGTGAGAATTCAGTGATATGTGTAATTTGGCACCTGTCTCCTGGATGCCTTTGGGCATTGAAGTAGCACATGTATGGCTCAAAAGAAAGGGGCTATGCCTTCTCCCATGATGGTGCTGTTTAACATGGACTGTTTCCTGTCTGGCTGTGTTCCTGTGTGACCTGCCCTAGACTAGATGGTCCTGCTCTTGCAGGGGGGTTGGACTCGATCTCCAGAGGTCTCTTTCAACCCCTAACATTCTGTGGTTCTGGGTTTCTTATTTTGTCATCTTAGGATTTCAGCAAGCTTGATCAAAGAGAAGAGTATGCCCCTTCATGTCCTTGTCATTTCACCTACTGCACAAAATAAAAGCTCAAGAACTATGTTAAACTGAAATCCTGGCAGTATCCAAGCCAAAGAATCTTTTGGTGTCTTGAAATTGTTGTAGGTTTTATCTTCACATGTTTTCCTGTTCGTCGTCATGCACTTTCACCACACAGTTGTTAACTGTTATTAAGAGTGTCATTATAGGGAACAGCAGTTTCACCTGCTCATTTTTTGTTTTGAAATGGCAGAACTTAAAAGGCTCGGTGTCCTTGTTCCCTTCCACCTTTTCCCTGCAAATTTTCTTACTTGGGGCATTGGGAGCTGGTGATCTTAAGCTCTAAACTGAATGTGTGCTGGCGTCTTAACTGCTGCATTTCAGGGGGTTGAATGTATATGCCAGTCTGTGAACGTAGGCAGCTCATGGCCAGAGGGAGCAATAGTGCTTAAATTGTCCCAGCAAGACTGAGAGAGTGATTGCCAGTGAAGGAAAAGCTCAAATGGTGCTCAAGAAAGAGATAATGCAAACACATAGTTGTGAGCAGTGGAGGGCAGGATTTTACCTGCTTGCATGGGAACAACCTCGTTCATACTAAAGAGTGTGGAATTGTTGTAGATGAGGTGTCTCTCTAGCTGTAGTGGCAGTGTGATATATGGGAAAACTTCAAGATTCATGATCTTTAAAACAAGTATGTTATAATGTAGTTATTTTGGGGGTTACGAGTTTTCAGAAAACCAGGACACTTCCCATAGGCATTTCCTGTTCTTTTGGGACAGAGCTATAAGCTGAGCTTTTCTTTTCTTACTGTTTTAGGTCAACCAAATGTTTGGGTTTGGGTTGGTTTTTTTGTTTGTTTTTCCCTTTTTTCCTCAGGGGTCTCTGCATAGAAAGGATATAATGGTTTGCTTCAGGAATAATTACATACATGGTTCTGTATATTCTTTGAGTAATGATAGGATAGAAATATAAATTTTTCTCACATCAGTTTGCCTTAAATTAAAACAAATATACAAAAAAAAACCCACACACACACAAAAATTTGCAAAAGAAGAAGAGAATATGAGATAATTTAAGCTTGAAAGGTGCATTTGCAAATAAACTTTGTAAAGACTCATACAATGATATAAGGAAGGAAAGAAGTTACAGTAATCTTAGAAGAAAATAATGGTCCTTAGTAGTAGCACATAGAAGAGGCACACAGATAATAGAACAAGTATGTTTAGGAAAGTTTGATAAAAATGGGAAAAAAAAAAAGTATAATATTAAACTGAGAGAAACTAACTGTTTTTTTGTTGTTGTTCTTCAAACAGTTGGACAAACAGAACAGTCCAGTGTAACTTTGAAGGACGATACCAAAACCATGGAGACAATTTCCTCTGACACAGGCGCCAAGGACGGTGTGGATGCTGAGGAAGAGGATGCTCACACAGTTAAGCAGCTGCCCTCTTCAGAAGAAGACGCAGAAGACCACACATCTGAGCCACATTCGTATGATGTGGGCTTTAAAAAGGTTTTTAAATTTGTTGGGTTCAGATTCACAGTGAAGAAGACAGGAAAATCAGAACCCGTTCAGCTGCTTACTGTGAAAAATGAAGCCCAAGTCCCTGAAGGAGCTGATGATGCAAAAGAAGTCGGCTCAGAAGAAAGAGCAACGCCTGAGGATGCACTCCCTGCAGAAGACACCGCCAAAGACACACTACAAAATGAAAAGACAGAAGACGAATCTCCTAAAACCCCAGAAGCAAAGGAGGTTGGTTCTCAGTCAGCTGCCTTGGGCACCGATACCGCATCGCCATTAAGAAAATATTTTACTCGGGTATGGACTGGATTTAGGAAAAAGAGGAGTTTCCGGAAGCCTAAAGAAGATGAACTACAGTCTCCTACAAAAGAAGAGGAGCAAGAGAAAGAGGGGGCAAGGCTAACAACTGAATCCAGTGAAAAGGAGGAGAAATCCGAGATGGAGAAGCAAGATGAAGAGAGGATTGTGACAGCACTAAGTATGGAAGCGCATGAAAAGGAGCAAACAGAAGGTGAAAAGCAGGAGTCAGAAATGACTGTGGCAGCCACGGGAGCTGAAGCAAGTGAGAAGGAGGAAGAGCTCATCAAGCCTGATGAACAGGGACAAAAAGAGGATGTAGCAGCAGCAGCAGTGGTTGAAAGTGCGGAGGAGAAAGAAGCTGACGAAGACGAGCAAGAAAGGAGACTAGTGGAAGTCTCAGGAGATCTTGGTAAAAAGGAAGAAGAAACAGAAGAAGGAGAGAAAGAAAGTGAAGTGAGAGAGAAAGCACTAAAGCCAAGTTCAGTGGTAGCTGTTGACAGTGTGAACGGAGAATTGAAAACATCCTCAGAAGTCCTACCTGTGGGGGAAGAAAAACTGGAGCCAACAGAGAAGTGTGAAATAGGTGATAGAACCGAAGTGGCGTCTGCAGAGAAACCTGAAGCAGGATCTTTGGCAATGGAAATTTCTAGTGAACAGCTTAAATCTGAAGGAAGAGAAGGAGATAAACCTTCTCCACTGGGGAAAGAAACAATTGATGAAAAAGCAGAGGAAGCAGAAATGAAAATGTCACCCCAAGCAGAAGATATCACAGGAGGAGAAGCTTCAGATAGAAGCCCAGAGAATAAGGAAAGCAAAGAACATGAGACAAAAGTGACTCTGGGTGCTCCTGGATTGAAATCATCTTCTCCTCCTGAATGCTCAGTTGACACAGAGGATGATCAACAGTCAATCAAACCCACTGATGAAGGACTACAGGGAAAAACTGGCATAGTTACAACTGCTACAGCAGCTGAAATGACTACAGAAATAACTCATGAAGAGGCAGCTGGAAAGAGGCTTCCAGAAGGTATTACCAATGAAGCTGAATTGCTGGCTTCTCAAGAGAAAACTAAACTACAAGGCAGCCCTTTAAAGAAACTCTTTACAGGTACTGGATTAAAAAAACTGTCTGGAAAGAAGCATAAAAGCAGAAGAGAAGAATCTAAGTTAGGAGAAGAGGGTGAACCAATTCAGCACTTATCAGATTCCCCAGATAGCCCAGAAGAACAAAAGGGGGAGAGTTCTGCTTCTTCTCCTGAGGAGATGAATGAAGTGCCTTCTTTGGAAAAATCTGCAGATGGAATGCAGGTCACTGAAAATGAAGATGCTGCAATTTCAGATATGGAGCGAAAAAGAGAGAGTGTTACACCCTGGGCATCATTTAAAAAGATGGTGACTCCCAAGAAACGTGTCCGAAGACATTCTGAAAGTGATAAAGAAGAAGAAATTGATAAGACAAAGGGCATTGCAGTGCCTGTAACTGAAAATGCTATTGATGAAAATCAGGGAGAATTCAAAGAAAATGGGATGGACCAGAAACCAGAGAAAATCACAGAAGAGCCCAAAAGAAAGGTTGACACCTCTGTGTCCTGGGAAGCTTTTATATGCTTAGGTTCCTCAAAGAAAAGAGCCAGGAAATCATCATCATCATCATCTGATGAAGAAACTGAACATAAGCTTGGTCAAGAAACCCAAAAAATAGAAGAGTCTGGACAGGGCAAAGAAACAGCAACAGATGCAGTTCTTACTAGTTCTCAGGAAAGTGATCAAGGACAAGGGAATTCTTCCCCAGAACAAGCTGGAAGCCCATCTGAAGGTGAAGGTATTTCAACCTGGGAATCATTCAAAAGGTTAGTCACTCCAAGAAGGAGATCCAAAACCAAAATGGAAGAGAGAACTGAAGATTGTGTTGTGGGAACTAGCCTGGAGCATTCAACATCAGATGGTGAGCCTGGAAAAGATGAATCGTGGGTTCCTTTTAGAAAGTTGATGCCTGGGCGTCGGAAGAAAAAATCGGATGGAAAGCCAGAACCGACTCATCTTAAACAAGCAAGAGAAGATATGGCAGAAACAACTGAAGAAGATTCAGATATTCCAGCTGTTGTTCCTTTGTCTGAATATGAAGCAGCAGAGCAGGAGAAAATTGAAGCACAACAAGCAAAAGATGCTGAAGTGATGGGAGAACGAACCTCCGAGGAAGAGAAAGGAGAAAAATTAGAGGAGACTCTAAGAACTGAGCAAGCACATGAAGGGCTGGTCCATGCAGTTAGTGTTACTATTGTGGGAGGGGAAAGGGCAGTTACCAGTATTGAAGAAAGGTCACCATCTTGGATATCTGCTGCTCTGACAGAGTGCATTGAGCAGGCAAAAGAAGAGGAAGAGAAAGAAGCTGAGAAAACATTTGAATCAGATATTCTCTTGGAAGAAGCAGTGGTAGCTGCTAATACAGTGCCAGAGATGAGAAAGGATTTAAGTGATGCCACCACAGCAAGCGAGCTAGAGCTAACCTCAGAAGCAGTGACAGCCCTGGAGGAGACAGCAGAAGCTTCCTGCACTGAAGAAACAATGGAAGTGTCCCTTGCAGAGGAGACAACTGAGATGGTTTCTGCTGTTTCACAGTTGATAGAAACCCCAGATACTACAGAGGAAGTTACACCTGTACAAGAAGTAGAGGCCACTGAACAAAATTTGAAAGAATTGGACAAACAGACGCAAAAAGTTCTTCACGATGTTGCTGAAAGAGTAAAATCAGCAGATGTAGCACAGCTGGTTAGTGAAAGAACAGTGACAGAAACTGTAATTACAACAGTACAAGGAACTGAGCCGGAAGTGAAAGACGTTAGAGCTGGGAACGTTGTAGATCAGCAAACTGTTTTGCTTGAACAGTCCTTGGAAAAAGAAGAGCACAAGGAGGATGGCCTCCAGCCCCAGGGAAGTGCAGAAAAGGGCCAAAAAGGAGTTGAAGAGAGTGTTCTACGTGAAGGCTCACAGAGAAGTGAAGTACCTGCTGCAGTGAAAGAGAGCACAGAAGGAGGAGAAAATGTAGACGTATTGAGAGATGAGAGCCAGTGGCATGCACGTGAAGAAGCAGCTGAGGACCATGAAGAAATACCTGAAGTGCAGAGGACAGTAGAGGAACCGTCATCACGTGACAGAGTGTTTCATGACATTGAAGCTGTCACTCCCAAGGAAGAGCTGTTGGCAAAGCAGGAGCCTTCAGAACAAGAGAAACTGCCCATAACAGCGTCGACAGCAGATGAGACAAGAGATGAACGTATTCCAGAAGTACAAACTGCTGTAAGTATTACATGTAACACAAACTGAAAAATCAGCAGGTGTTTGACACTATATTTAGAACCAGGTCATGGCAGTATTATTATCAAGGGCCTTCCTTGTGCAGCCTGAGGCATCTGAAATTTTTTTCTCAGGGAGACACACAGAGGGAGATCCACTAAGGCTTGTGTGCAGTGAGCTGGGTGCAGTTCCTACAAAAATGGAGCGGGAGATTACGTGTATGGATCTGAAGGTGCTGAAACAGTTGCCTTTGGGGTTCCTGTACAGCACAGTGTGACTGAAGTTATTATATGAACACCTGAGATAGGTATGTGATCCGTGTGGTACCATACCTAGTGGTTGGTATCTTCAGTTGTAGGGAGAGCTACAATTGTAGGGGAGCTACCTCTGCAGAGGAGGGCAATGAAATTGACACCACTATCTCCAGCTTTAAATATCAGCACAGGAGTTATCCTTGCTATGTTCCTACCTTCTTCCCTACATCTGCACCATTTTCCTGGTTTGCAGAATCAGAATACCAGGTTGGAAGGGACCTCAAGGATCATCTGGTCCAGCCGTTCTTGGGGAAAGGACAGTCTAGCACCCTGTCCAGCTGCACCTTAAAAGTGTCCTGTGCTGGGGACTCCACCACTTCCCTGGCCAGATTATTCCAATGGTTGGCTTAGTCTTTGTTGGACGTGCCGTTTTCTGTCTCTGCTTTAGGTTGCCCTCTGCTTAATGAGCTGTGTGTCCTGAGAAACTGAACACAAGGTGCCATCTTGGTGACCCACTAATCTCAGTGTCATTGACACATGCTCTTCCTATAAGTCTCCTCCTTTTGGTCATTTCTTCTGGTGCTTTTTCACACAGAACATTCCTGGTCACTCTCTGCTTGTACAGTGTTTCACAGGTCTATTTCAATTCTCTGCAGGTGCAGGACAAGACAGAGGATGAAACCTCTTCTGTGGGGCTTCCAGCTGAAGAGTCTGTGCAACTGGAAGGGGAGGGCAAAATGCTCGCTAGGGAACCAGAGTGTGCAGAAGCAGTTGTCACTGTGGTCCCTGCCAAACAAGGAAGACAAGATGAAACTCCTGACTTAGACTCAGAAGAGCAAGTTTGTACTAAAGGACTTCCTAGTAGGGCACATGCCCAGAGAGAAGGAGAGGAAGGGGAAGGTGATGCTGTGCTCCTTGGAGTAAAAAGCACAGAAGTCACTGTTACTGAGGTTCCACTGCAGAATGAGGCAAAAACCTCTGCCCTTCCTTCAGAAACAGTTGGCTCAGAAGCAGCTGCAAAAGCTGAGCAGAATGTGAGGGATGAGGCTGGTAGGCACATTACAGCAAAAGATTCTGTGCCCATCCTTGAGCCTCAGTGCAGACAAAAAACAACTGAAACCCTCTCCCAGGGTGATGAAACCAGAGGTGGCAAAATGGAAGATGCTGTGCTCGAAACTGAAGTACACTTTGAGAGTGATACCCCTGTTGCTGAGGCTCCCACACAGATGGAAGTGGACAGCGTATCCCATTTAGCATCAACACACCCACGTGTCATGGAAAATGGAAGCACTGTCCTCAGTGACATAACTCCTAAGAAATGTGAAACGCTAAGCAGCTTAGCTGAGGAAGAGGCTGGGGAAAAAGAACAAGAACTTGCAGAAACCTCAAACTGTCAAGACTTTCAGAAGGAAGATAGCAAAAATGAGCAATCGATGGAAAGAGGCAAAGAAGTATTTGAATCTGGGGAATGGGAAGATGAATGTTCAACTGCTGTCCGGGAAGAGGTTTTAGATGTGCAAGAGAAAGGCTCTGACTCAGCTTGCTTACAGGCTGAAAGCTTGGAGGCTCTGAAAGTGCCTGTAGCAGCTGCAGCAGTTGAAGAGCATGTCATGGCAGAAATTGTAACGCCTGCAGACACAGCAGCTGAAATTGTACAGCCCTTGGCAACCACACCCAAGCAAATGGCATCTGAAGAGGTCCCAGTTTCTACTGTTGACTGCTCAGGCTGTGGGACTGCAGAGCTTGGTAGTGCAGAAGCGCCTGAATCTCAAGGAGCTCCTGCTTGCATGAATGGAATATCAGAGGAGCAAGAGAGGCCCCAGAGCCCAGGGCATCCTGAACAAAATGGTATTCCTCTAAGTGACAGTCCATCTTTCACCCATAGGGAAATTGAGAAGGATGTTGTTCAGTCTTTGACTATAGAGTCACAGAGTACAAAAATTGTATTGAACGCCATCCAGACGGCTGTTCACAAACTTGCAGAAACAGAAGAATCAGCTGCCTTTGAGTCAGAGCAGCCCATTAAGTCCATGGGGAAAAGCCCTTCAGATACAAAAATACCCGAACTTCTGGAAAGTACTCGGGTGGGTCAGATTCTGGTAGAAGAGGAAGAGATACGGAGTAAAGAACAAGAGCTCCAGCAGTCAGGATCACTGAAAACTGCTATATTAACAACATCTGCAGAAATTGATTCAGCTGTAGAAAAAACAAAAGACATGCTGTTAACTTCTGAGATACTGAAAGATGGACAAAATCAGAATTCTTTAACAATTGTGACTAGCCCTGAAGATGTTTCAAGGGCAAGTGTGAGACTTCAGAAATCAAGACTAGAACTAATTACTTCAGAAGATTCATCCAAAGACCCACTGGATACACATCTGCCAAAATTAAGAGAAAAAGAGGTCGGGCAGATTATTGAAATCCCAGACCAGCATACTGGTAAGCAAACATGCAGAGAAGGTGAGGAAAAAGAGCATCACCCACCAGTGGAAGACGGGAAAACGCAGACATGGGATGATGATAGTTGCCCAGAAGGAACATCTTGTGATAGTCCACAAAACCAGAACTTGTTGATTCCTGAGGCCTTGAATGTAAGTAGCATTTTTAGCCAGTAATTATTTTTCCAAAATAGTTTTAGGGATCTGTAAAAGTGGTGTGTTGCTGATGGGTTGTTTTGTTTTGTTTTGTTTTTATTGTGGTGAAAGGTAACTGCTCCTCAGTTTATCCAACAGGCCAGAGATTTTTTTAAATTTATTTTCTTCTCCTTTTACTGCATCTCTCTCTGTCTACTGAACACCTTGTTTCTTTCCTGTACAGCCACCCTCAGCTTTATGGCCTTTGACTTGGCCTGTAGTTAAAGGTGATATTTCTGGCAGGAGAAAAATGTGGTTTCCAGTTTTCCCAGCCATGCGTTTATATGGCACGTGTTTAATGTATGGGATTTAATCTGCACACGTGCTTCCTCTCTAACAAAGCTTTTACTAAAATCCTGAAGGATGTGGATGTTGTCATCCATGGTGAATCTGGAGTGCCTCTTGTACCAAAGCTCTTTGCACTTTAGTGAAGTCTGTGTACAGTCTCTCCCTAGGATATTTACTTGCTTCACTAAGTCACAGAATCACACAGAATCACAGAATGTTAGGGGTTAGAAGGGACCTCCAGAGGTCATCGAGTCCAACCCCCCTGCCAGAGCAGGACCATCTAGTCTGGGGCAGGTCACACAGGAACGCATCCAGACAGGTTCTTAAAAGTCTCCAATGTGTAGGAGGCTGCACAACCTCCCTGGGGAGCCTGTTCTAGTGCTCTGGAACCTTTACAGTAAAGAAGTTCTTCCTCCTGTTGAGGGGGAACTTCCTGTGCTCCAGTTTGTTTCATTGTCCCGCATCCTATCGCAGGGCATAAGTGAGAAGAGGTTGCCCCTTCCTTCCTGACACCCAGGCCTCATATATTTATTCATGTTAATTAGATCCCCCCTAAGTCTTCTCTTCTCCAGACTAAAAAGCCCCAGGTCTCTCAGCCTCCCTTCATAAGTCAGACGTTCCAGTCCCCCAGTCATCCTCGTAGTCCTCTGCTACTCTCGAGTGGATCTCTGTCCCTCTTGAAATGGGGAGCCCAGAACTGGACACAATACTCCAGGTGAGGTCTCACCACGGCAGAGTAGAGGGGGAGCAGGACCTCCCTTATTCTGCTGGACACACTTTTCTTAATGCAGGATACCATTGGCCTTCCTGGCCACAAGGGCACACTGCTGTCCAATGGACAGCTTGTGGTCCACCAGGACTCCAGCGTCCCTCTCCACAGAGCTGCTCTCCAGCAGATCTCCTCCTAACCTGTACTGGTGCATTTTATTACTCCTGCCCAGGTGCACGACTTTGCCCTTACTCTTGTTGAACCTCATTAGGTTCCTGTAGTTGTGAGACTTTTATCTCTGTCTTTGAGAACTGCTTGGGAAAATACGATGTTCTTGAGAGACTAAGTTGTCATTAATAGTGTTTTTCTGCTGTCACTTTCTTTCAGATGTGCTAAGCATCCACGTGGCATTTGAAGAGATGCCAGTCCTAGAGAACAACTGACAATCCTGCGACAGAAACAGGAGCTTTATTCCCTACCCTTTTACTCTTGGATGTTAACATCTGTACTTTAGAAGACCTCACCTTTTTTCTCACTTCTATTAAAATAAACAATGCCTTTAATGTTGCCTATATCCACACGTGTGTTCCATTTGAAGGTCATTTGCCTCTGCCCAAAATACACCATTTAGACTCATGCTGCACAACTGAGTGAATGGACAGACCACTGAAACTTGTTCCACAGTTACTATCATCCCCTCACTTAATGCATCTCCTGTCTGTCCCATCTCCTTGAATTCCTTCACTTCTCTCTGAATCCCCCTCCCTTCTTTCTCCAGGCTCTGTTATATCCCCCAATCTTCCATAGCTGCCTTGATTGGAACCTGCGAGTACCTGTAGATGCTGCTGGACTTGTGTGTGAGGGGGAAGATGAGGGCTGACTGATGGGAACACAGGAGACTTCTGGCTGAGTAGCAGACGTGTCTGTATCAAACAGCAGGAACTGGATCACGCACAAATTCTTGAGGAAGATGCTCAAGATTTCTGCCTTTCAGTCCCATGCAGGTGTCTTTATCCATCCTTAGGTTGCATTTGTGCAAGCCTGATTTAGTCAGAAATGACTTCTGTGGTGTATCTTGAAAGGAGATTGAGAATACCCTTCTTCTGTTGTTTCAGACTTCAGGTCTCAGGACTGGGCTGTAATGTGTTGAGTATTTATATGTATGTCTTAAATCCAGTTCTGATTTTAATGTAGAGCTATGCTACTTCTGTACTATTTAGGCGTACCCCTAAGTGAATTTTGTAGAGTAGCCTGGAGGGGAAATTGATACCATTGGAGTGGGAATTGGTAACGGAGTTAGTTTCCTATTTATTGTTCCAGTTTTTTTCCCCTGTACAATCTCTCAAAAACTTGGCTGTCTTGCTTTGAGTATTTATATGTATATCCTAATCCCAGTTCTGATTTTAATGTAGAACTACGCTATTTCTGAAGACAAAAGGAGAGCCTTAACCTGGGTCAGATCCAGCACTCACGTGTACGTACAGTCCTTCCTGATTTCTAAGAACCCTTCAGACTTGGAATTTCCCCGTTGACTTGTGCACGTAGCAACCCCAGTGGTGCCATGAGCCTCAAGTTGTGCCACTCATAGAATCATAGAATCCTTTAGGTTGGAAGGGATCCTCAAGATCATGCCAGAATCCGCTCACTTCTGGTCACTGCCCCATCCAAGCCCAAGCCTTTCCCCACACCTAAACCATCTAACATCCTTCCTGCATACAGGCTTCCCCCTTTCCTGAGCCCTGCCTGGACCACTTTCCCAGCACAGCATTTTTTGAAATCCTTCTCGCTCCTATCAACTCCCTGTCTTCACTGAGGGGTGGAGTAGGAAGGAGGGTAAGGGCTTGGTGATGAATTCTACCTTGGATTGCAAAAAGCTGATGAGACCTTTGGGGTGCTGAGATTTTAAAAACCTTCAGGTAAGGTGGATTGGACTGACAGCAGCTGTAGACCAGAAGGAGCAGGGTGACTTAAGGATGGAGAGAACCCCCAAGACCAAGAGTCCTGGGGTGTCTGCCCCCAACAGGAGTTGGTCCTCTTTTGTTGTTTACATTAAAATCGAACACGGGGTACAAGTCAGTACTTTCAGCTCTGGTTTCTGAAGTGAAGGTCACAGATGGCACTTTGTGAAACCGATGCCCATCAAGTTGAACAATAGCTCACTAGCCTACCTGTATAGTAATTTATTTTAAAATCAACTTCTGGTGTACGAATGCTCTTGTTATGGCAGGTGCTTGCCTCTCCTTGAGGCTGCATGTACAAGCAAGCAATGTGACAGATTGCACTGGTGTGATTGCACCATCTGGTGCTGCCCTGCGAGGAAGCATCAAAAGAGTTTTCCTTACCTCAGAGAAAATTATATAAATATTTAAAGCCAAACAATGTGGTTTCGAACAATCCAGCCTCTCTCTGTCCATTGTTAGCGGCAGCTTTTCCCTTTAGCTTTGGGCAATTCCAGCCACCTCAGTTGTTTTCCACAGGTTTAAGTTGGCTTCCAAGTTAATCATGCTCTTAATAACACCTCACAAGTGCAAACTTGGCTGAACTTGTACAAATTGTATACCTATGTACATTAAGCCATATTGCAATAACTGCGGCAGGTATAATGAAATAACAACAGCATGACCTGTGTAATCCCAAATCTTATGTTTGTAGCTCCAAAGCTGTTAATAATATGTAAAGTTAATTCTCGTCTGAACCTCAGTTAAATAAAGCTAGCTTTACCACAATGTAAATTGCCTCTTGGTAGTAATCGGACAGGCAAATGCTTTAACTTGCCCGTTTTCTCCATTAATACAGGGCCTAGGTAAGCAATGCAATAAACTTAACTATAAAGGAAACACAAGAGCTTCTTGTTATAACTGACAGCTAAAAAAATGCTGCACCCTAACCCACGCAAACGGTGCAAGGAGCATGCCTCCACATACAGATACTACTTTGTTCCCATGTATTGCCTTGGCCTCTGAAAACTCTGGTTGGAGACTGTGACTTCTGGCTTGTGCTTAAAAGCTTGAAGCTTCCTCTAATCCGATGTATTGGGTTACCAAATTGGATTTGGTGTTTTTAAGGTAGATTTTCATTGGTTAAATAAAATACAACTACAAATTGTTCTAATGTGTGTTTGTGGTGTTTTTATCAGTTTGCTTTGTTGTAAATATTTCCTGGTGGTTCCTTCATCTTCA